TCCAGTTTTCCTTTTCTGGCCTTCACATTGCAATCATTCATGCTAGTCAACCTGCCTGTTGACTCTCTTCCTCTAGGAACCTTTCCTGATAGAGCCTTCATGAGATGTTCACTTTCCCCTAGAGAATTATTGCCTATTCTACTCACATTACCTGTAGTCAACTACGTTTCTGAGTTGTCTTTTTATGTAAACATCTTGCACTCCAAAAAGAGTGTAGGTACCTTGAGAGTAAGGGTCCTACCTCACACTTTGTAGTTCTTGAATAGAACACCCCAAGCGGCAAGTTCTGTAACAGTAGCAAAGGAAAACTAGCCAGATTATGAAGAGCCTTGAACAACCATTTTACTCCATATATGGGAAAGGGTTAAAAGGCTCTGTGAACCTGCTGCTACCAACTCCTTGATATTCTCTGGAACCCTTTTGTCCATGAAAGGAACATAAAGTAAGGGGCTTTACTGCAAACTGGACAGCGCTGTCTTAAGGGACAGGTTACATCTACTTGTAAGTGACAAGAACTTTCACATGGGAGGAAATTCAAGTAGTGAATAAACACGTGGGAAAATGTGCCACCTAACTAGTAATTAAAGAAACACAAATTCAAATAAGGAGGGACTTAGTAATCAGGAAGACAAAGTAAAAAAAAACCCATTTAAGCTGTTTAGCAGGCACCTTGGAGAATCAGAAGGCCAAACTGCAAGGTAAGGGTTTGATAGGCAAGTGGGGGATTCTGTGTGCTGAGGTTTAGGAATGGCAAGCGCAGGGGGCACAGTCACCACACCAGGGGACGGATGGGTCATGGGGTTCAGGAATGACCAAGTTCATCTTAGCCCAAGGGTGGAGTTACTAAGCGCTTGGGCGTCCCTAGGCAACCGGTAAACCTTCCCTCTCCAGAGTCAACTCTTTTGTAATTGGCTCACGAATCCACCAATGGGCGCACAGGAGGCGCTTCCCGCCACCTCTGGCGCCCGCTTTTAAACAGCCTTACTTTTGCAACTGCAGGCGGACTTCTCAACCAACCTTGAGCAAGGCGGAGACTTTCGCCTCCACGCCCCGCCCACCCCGGCATGGCCCCGCCCACTAGGAGAGCCGCTAGTGGGCGATTGAAGGAGGCAGCTGTTCCTCAATAACGTCAGGACTCCGAGTTCGGTTGTGACTAGGAAGGCACTAGCAGATTGGAGCCTGGGTCTGGGGGTTTGCTAGAAGCTGGACTTCAGCTGGGGCTAGAGTTTCCCCGCGGTGACAGCATCCGCGGCCTCTGGTGAGTTTCGCTTCGCCTCCGGGCTTGGGGGTGCAGTCAGAAGAGGTGCGGGATCCTCCGGATTCTGGCTGAGGCTTCCGGGAGGGCTGACCCGCCCCCTCCCCAAATCCCGCGGAGGTGCATGGCCCTGCGGGAGCTCAGCCTTTGACTTTGAAGTGTCATTCTGCTTAGCCGTGAACTCCGGGAGGCCCTCTTCTCTTCTAGGCTGCTGGGGTCACCCTGAGGCCCTCCCCTGGGGACCCCCCCGTGGTCGCCCTGGCGCCCGCCTGGCTCACAGTGGGTGCTCTGTACACGTGTGTTGACCGAGTGCATGTGTCACTGGCAGGCAAAGCCCGCCATCCCAGGCATCCTGGGCTCCGTGCAGCTTCGGTCTCGCGGAACCTGCTTGTTGTGCCATAGCTGACGCCAGGCGGAGTTCCTGGGTAAGGCCTTTGATTAATTCATTCGTTCAGCCCGTGGGTGCTTGCTTACTCGCTGCATCCTCTGGGATCCCGGACTTGATTTGTCTAAGCTGCTGTCATTAGCACTGATCACAGATGATCGTCATCCTTTGTTTATATGTTTATTTTCTTCCAAGTCCTGCTAAGCTTTGTAATCTCGAACAGTGCTTGGTAAATGGTTGAATAAATGCATAGACCTCCTAAGCCTTATATTGCAAGTCTAAAACAGGCTAGTGTGCTCCGGCTCTTTCCATTCTAGAAGAGAAGCAGGCATGTCAGCAAATCAATAGGGTTTACTAACTCTCAGAGCTCTTCTAAACCCCTTTTGTGGCACCTAACGTTTTCTATCGGATAGCCATGAACTTATAGTGCGGTTTAAGCTGCATTTCGTGGTATCCTTTCACCAGATGTGACAATATATATATGCACTTCTAGATATGTGAATGCATTCAACTAATTGCCTTGGAATTTTCTTATGGCTGGAATTGAAGTCATAAGAAAAGCGTAAGAAATATAGACCAAAAGTGGAAAAAGAGTGATTAATTCCATGGGGGAACCGGATAGGGAGGGCATTTTGAAGGAGGTGGCATTTTTATCTCAGAAGGGGTTGTGTTATTTAGTAGCAAAAGTTTCCCACAGGCTAAACGTTGACCTTTTCTCAAATATTTTGAATGCTCTCTGTTCCTTTAACCTCTTTTGTAGTTGGCCGACTCTTATTCAGCATTAATGTCATAATAATAATAATAACTAAAATGTATTGGTTGCTACACAGTGCTAAGCACTTGATGTGCATTATCTGGTGAAGCCTTAAAACCAATCTTGGAGGTGGGTACTACTTTTGTCCGCATTTTACTAATTAAGAAATGGAAACTCTTTGCTCAAAGTTGGACAGCTTGTAAGTAGAAGAGCCAGATTTGAGCCCGGGTTGTCTGAATAAGAGCCCTCATTCTTAACCACTTCCAGCCATATTGTGTCCTTGAACATCTATTTCTAATTAGAAGTCTTTCTGTAAAACTTCCCTCAGCCTTTTTTTTTCTTCTCAAAGTTAATATTTGCTGTTACTTTTCTCTATTATAAAATTTATGACAATGTATCACTGTAACTATTAATTAATATCATTGTTTCCCTAAGGAACTGTTAGCTTCTCACATCTGGTACTATGTCTTGGATATATCTAGGATATAACCTGGCACCCAATAGGTGTTCAGTAAAGTTTTATCGAAATAATGAATCCATATAGGGTAACATGAATGCATTGTATTCATTCAACCAGTATTCGTTGTGTGCCTACCATGTCCAAAGGATAGGGTAGATACATTTAATTTCTGCCTTCAGAATGCTTGTACATTCTTAAATGAGGCAAAAACAAAATGTTTTAGTTTAGCTTAACGTTTTGTCTAACTAAACACCCATGGGTCTTCCTTCTCATTGCAAGGAGAGCAAAGACAACATAACTGGGGACAACAAAATGAGTACTGAGGGTACAAAGGGGCACACCATAGTCTTGTTAATAGGTTCAGAAAAGCTGTCTATCTGGAATAAAGTATTAACTAGCTTGCTATTAAAAAAGCATACTGGACACATTCTGCCTCTTGATTTTTAAATGATCAGGCAATAAATATGGAAATATTTAATTTTTATTAGTGGCACAGTATTGCCAAATTT